AAAAAAAAAGAAAAAGAAAAAGAAAAAAAGTCACATAAATAGTAAGTGGAGCGATCAGGCTGCCTGGCTCTCGGGCCCCAGCTTTTACCCTGAACTCAGGCCCTGCATTTGGAGGCGTCTTCAGTCTCGGGCTCCCTGTGACTGAGGGGAGACCAGCATGAAGAGGAGGATGGGTTCTGAACTGGAATACAGTGAACTTGTGGGGACCTGCCACTTCCTATAGCCTGACTGTCAAGGAGCTTGGTTTGTTTTAAAGAAAGAGCGTACTGCGGTGTTCACCCAGGCTGGCTTTGAGCTCCTGGGTACCAGAGATCCTCGTACTTCAGGCTTCTGAGTGGCTGGGACTACAGGCCTGCGCCCCTGCGTCCCCTAACACTCTGCACTGTTGAGACTCCATTTTCACATCTTCAAGGGAGTTGTTAATAGCCAAACTTGCCTGAGAGCACCCATGCAACCAGTAACCCCCACCCCACCCCGCTTTATTACCATGTTGGGTCCTCTCCACATGTGTCTCTGGATCAAAATCCAAGCCTGTCTCAAAGTTCTATCCAGAAGCCTTCCCTGACCCCGGCGCCTTGGCTCTGAGTTCCTGTCCCAACGCCTGGCAATCTGTCGGGCTGAAGACTAATTTGCTGACTTAATTTTCCTAGGTCTTGGTGTTCTTAACTAGGACATGGAATTGTGCGAATCCATGACATTGAGCACTAACATTTTTTGCTTTTCTTGCAGTACTGGGGATCGAACTCAGGACTTTGTGCTTGCAAGGCAGGTGCTGATACTGCTGAGCTATTTCCCTTGCACTTTTTCTTGTTTTTTTGAGATAGGGTCTCACTATGCAGTTCAGGGTGGCCTTGAGCTCACTTTGTAGCCCAGGCTGGTTTCAAACTCAGCAGTGACCCTCCTGCCCAGCCTCCTGAGTGCTGGGATTACAGGCGTGTGCCACAAAGCCCAGCTTTGAGAATCCATGAACTTGAATGGGAAAGCCATTTCCTTTTCTCACTAAGACCCAACTGAACTTACAAACATAGTCAGCAAATCATAGCACAAACTGCTCTCAACTTAAAAATCCTGAGATGTTTTTGGCTTTGTGATATCCTCAAAATCGTATGCATTCTACAGAAACCCTGCTACAGCGTTCATTAGCCTCCCCTTAATGGCGAGTACCTGTAAAGCTGTCCTGTTTTTTATTTTTAGTGCAGTGTTCAACAAATTACTTAGGATATTCAAAACTAGTCTAAGATAGGTTTGTGTTAGATGGTTTTGCCTAATTGTAAACTACTGTTCTGAACACATTTAAGGGACATGAGGCTAAGCCATGCTAGGACAGTTTAATTTATGATTTTCCTTTTTGAATCAGGGTCTTGCTATGTTGTTCAGGCTGGCCTTGAGCTCACTTTGTAGCCCAGGTTAGCTTTAAACTTGCAGTGATTCTCCAGCCTCAGCCTCCTGACTGCTGGGGTTACAGGCATGTGCCACCATGCCCAGCATGGTGAGTTTACTGGGATATAATTGCATCATAAATTGAGGTTCAACAATACTGTTAATCATGTTATTGATAGCTTTCGTACAGATTTTTTTCTTTTGAGAGAGTTACTATGTTGTCAAGGGTGGGCTAGAACTTGTGAGCTCAAGTGAGCCTCCTGTGCTGATTTCCCAAGAAGGAGCGATTACAGTCACGTGCCACTACACCTGATGGCAAAATTTTATTGAAACTATAAAATACTG